GAAAAGGCTGCCCCCGTCCCCCCGGGTCTGCAGGGAGATGGGGAGCAAAGCCTTGGAGCACGCCCACAGCGGGACAGCCCAGGCGCGCTTGAGCTGTCCCCCTGCGGGCGTGCTCCAAGGCTTTGCTCCCCGTCTCTCTGCAGACCAAGGAGACGGGGAGCAGCTTTTCTCATCCCGGAGGACGGGGGCGGCGGACCACGGCGCATCTGGGCGTCCCGCCGCTCCCGTCCTCCGGGGCGAGAAAAGCCCCGTTCGTAACTGCGGATCCAACATAAGTCGGATCCGCATAACTCGGGGACTGCCTGTATTCTGAATTTTTCATTCTAAAGTCCTTTTTATCCTATGACCTGGCAAAAGTTTTTGAAAGGATTTTATTTAAGGGCTTATGTGTCTTGTTCTGAATAAGAGTCTGTAATACTACTTGCTTTGTTTTATAAATATTAGAAAGTGGAATTTAAGGATATCTATTTTGATGATCTTACATATAAATATACTAGAAACTCCTAGAAAGTGTCTGAGAGAATTATATTTCAGAAAAGAATCCTCATTATAAGAGAACAGTTGGCTTTAGTTACAAGCTCTCATTTTCTTCAGTGGCAATACACAATTTAGTAATATAGATTCTGTATATTATAAATGTGTCTAAATCTAGTTTTAAAAAAACTGACTTAAGCTTTGCAAATTATTTAATTCATTACTAATAACTTCTCATCTTGAAACAAATTCTTATTTCAAGGACCTAATCTGCCCTGAAATCATGTTATAAGCATTTCAAAATAATGTATTTACCACTAGGGCTTGATGTGCCTGAATACGAAGAAAATTTGAAGAAATCCTGGGTGTGGAAAGAACTCTATTCAGTTAGGAATATTCGACCTTCCTGCCATGGAGCACTGGGTATCTATGGAGGAATGATTTATACTGGTATATTTTATTGGATATTGAGAGGAATGGAACCATGGACATTAAAACATCCAGGTAGTTTTCTTTCAGAAATTACAAATGTACATTTTGTATCTGTCTTATGGTCTCTTCTTGTTTTGCATTAAGCAATGTTAGACTGGGACCGTACTCAAGTCAGATGTTAAAAGGGAGAATACAGAAATTAAGAATCTATAGGTGGTAGTTTTGTGTGTCTATGGAATTAGTGACCTATGGTGTAATTCAGTGAAAGGATTGGGGTACTACACTACTGGAGAAAATATCTGAGACACAGCTAACAATCATTTGTGGCTAAAAATTCTACAGAACATTTAGCAGACAATGGGAGTCTTAGTTCCAGTGTCTAATTTTAAATTATAATGTTTAATTTGGATAACTGTAAGTTAATTTCAACTAAATATTTGCACACTAGGCAACTTTAACATTGTGTCATTCAAAATTACCTTAGGGGCAGACTCTGATCAGCTAAAGCCAGCCAAAGATTGCACTCCTATTGAATACCCAAAGCCTGATGGAAAAATCAGTTTTGATCTCCTGTCCTCCGTGGCTCTAAGTGGGACAAATCATGAACATGACCAGCCTCCTCATTTGACTCTGAAGGATGACACTGTCCCAGTGAACAAAAATTTAGCTATATATGATGGGCCAGAACAGAGATTCTGTCCTGCAGGTAGGTAATTTAAAATGAACAATGGTTATGACTAGACTAATAGCTTTGCAAAGTGAAGACAAAAGGTACTTGTGTATTTTTACTGACATTTTTCGGTCAGGGAAACAACCTGGCCTAGTACACTATTTATTTCCTTAAGACAGTGATTCTCAAACTTTGAGATGACTACCAACCACATTTTTTCTTTCTTGGAGACCCACCCTTATCCCTGGTTATTCTTCTCCATCAAACAAGGTGTGCTTTTCCTGCTTTCTCCCTCCCCCCAGCGAGCTATACACTCCCCATGGTTGGACTGTGATTTATATCAGGCTGCTGACTCTCCCGAAGTTCACTCCACCTGCCCCACTAGGACATATGCTGGGTGGGGCCAGGCTGTTTAGGTGTGTTCCCTGACTCCTTCCTCTGTGCTGCTGGTGCCACCACTTCCTAGGGACAGCAAGCAGAAGCAGCACCCAAAGCCTGTTCCTGCCCTACATATGCTTCATGGATGCTCTCCCCCATGGTACTGCTGCCCAGAGGAAAGAGGGGAGAGAGGCTTCTGGGGCACACATGTCCTAAGATCCTTAACTACTTTGGGGCGGGGGGTAAGTAAATGAATTTCTTGATAGAGCAACTGTCAGTGGCTACATCTTCACTGTGGTGTTCTAGCGTAAGAAGTCTGTAGCGCTAGTTTTTTGGCGCAAAGGCTTCTTACGCAAGATCACATCCACACATCAAAGCACCTTGTTTGCGCAAGAGAGTATCCACACTGCTGGACGCTCTTGCGCAAGAAAACTCTGATGGCCATTCACAGAATGTAGCGCTAAAAGCAGTTATGCCTCAGAAAAGGAGGTTTACCTAGGGTGGAAAGAGCCCTCTGTTCAACTGCCCATTTAACAATGCTAGAGCTCATTTGAGGTGTGGACGCTCCCCAGGTTTTGCGCAAAAACCTTGTAGTGTAGATGTAGCCAGTGTGTATACAAGATATAACTGGACTGTATCATGTAATCATAGCATTTGTATGATAATGGCTGTTGAGAAGTGCAGGAGTTAGCACAGGTTGCACCTCTTTATGCTAGAACTCTCTGGTCCTGGACCACGGGTGTTACAGGATCAGAGTGTCCTGGTGTACTGTGGAGGGGAGAGGCCGGGAAGCGCAGTAAGGCAGGGAGAGGGGCCAGCAGCCATGAGGCCAGAAATGGTCTGACAAAATCCCTCATCTGAATCAGTCAGATCCTGAGGATGCCAGACTAGGGCTGTTCAACTTGTAGTGGGATCCTTTAAATCTAAGTCATAGCAGTTAAATGTATACTCATTTATCCACTGCAGTAACATTCTTATCTTTGCAGGTGTTTATGAATTTGTTCCCCTGGAAACAGGAGAAGGGCTACGGCTGCAGATAAATGCTCAGAATTGTGTTCACTGCAAAACATGTGACATTAAAGACCCAAGCCAGAATATTAACTGGGTAGTACCTGAAGGGGGAGGGGGACCAGCTTATAATGGAATGTAAACTTGAACGAAACTATTCAGTATTTCCCTGACATACGTAACCTCACTCACCTATGTAAATTTTACACAAATCTATGCTGTGATCTAAGCCTATTGCTAACAATGTTAATTGGGTGAGGTTACTGAGCTGGTGAAATGTCATACTGCTATGTGGTATGAAATGTTATGAACCACTATTATAAATAGTGAATGCAGTCAAAACTAGCCTGAATTATAAAAGAATATGCCTTTTTATTGGTTCAAAGATAGTGATGCAGCATCTCCAAAGAGCTGTTTTCTGTGACTTAAACTTGATGTTGGATCTATCTTTTGCCAAAGTTCAGTGGAAACACCCTGAACCCTGGTTGTGAAAAATACAGTGAAATCTTGTAATTTATGTTGATTTTGTTTTCTTCTTCCTAACGCTCTATCACTGCACTCTTGGTTAATTGCTGCTTCCATTAAGAAAAGTCAGTCAAGTGAGGAAATACTGTAACACTTTTTTCAAAGGTTACATTAAGTGGACAGGCAAATATTTAAACTCCCTCTTGTTTCAAGGGAAGACATTTTTAATAAAGCTAATTTGCCATAAAACTTAGTTTGGAACAAATAAGTTTATAAATAGTATTTATAAACTGTTTATTTAAGAAAGCAAAACTTATACAAGTGCTATACTTATACATACTGCTTTGGGAAAATCTTACTTATGGGAGAATAGTGAACTACAGTAAAACTCTAATTGTCCGGCATCCAGTGGTCCGACACTCCTGATAGTCCGGCACCAACTGGTACCTAGAAGTGCTCCGGCCAGCTGGACAATTGGAGCTGCCCAGAGGTGGCAAGTATTATTTTATTATTAAGGCAGGTGGGTGGGGGTGTTGGCGGGGAATGGCATGGCGAGGGGCGAACCCTCTGCTGTGTTGTGGGGAGGC